GACATTACACCTAGTATCATTTCTCAACTAATGATTGTATGAACTGCGCATCACAATTATCGTGCACACTTTCAAAATACTCTTGTAAATAATTAGGTCCAGTGGAATTACAGTATGACCGCTTTCTGACAAACCTTTCTCCTTGCTCTAGCTTCTGTAGCATCAGCGCCGAAGAGTGATGATATCGAACCAAGGACGTCCGAGAAGATTCTAACAATCAATGAGATCAGACCGTACATGGCAATACGGTATAACTAAACCGGCTCACCCATCATCACTTTGTTGCCGTCGTTGCCTATTTGCCGCTAGACTTCTTCTCTTACTGCCTTCACTCATATAACCGGCAACTAACTCAGGCGGAACCACGTTAAAAATGAACTACACAACCGGAAATCCTATCACAATTCTCACATCTTATGGCAGAAAACATATTATCTTCATTTCAACAAATAAACAAAAACTATCGGCAGCAGGTCTTCACCACTTCCATGATCATCAGATACACAAATACCTCATAATTTGGCTTAATACCTTGTGAATTCAGATCATTCTCTTCAAGCAAAGCTGCTCCTTCAATTGAATATTCGAGTTTGGTTTTCAAAGTACTCTAGGGATTAACCTCTACTATTCAGTTCTCATGAGAATAGTAAAGAAAGTTTTTCTATGTGATTGATTTTGGATTAGGATGCGCTCATGTACTTGACTTTCTTCCGAAATCATGTAGGTATTGGAAAGCATATTCGGTACATACAATGACTTTCTGGAATCGAACGATATACATACAGTCTCCAACTTCTCTCTTGCTTTAACCTCGGCATAGATGTTTCTGATTACAATATTCTTGTGCCGTGCGAGGTTCTTAGGTGGAACATTTATTAATCAAAACGGCCTAACGTTTCGTCGTTCTCGTCTTCTTCAGAAGCCAAGGTTCCACAGCTCAAGCAGATATAAAATTCGCTGTCGCCACAAGCGAATGTCAGTAGCGAATACGCACGGCACAAGAATATTGTAACCAGATATACATACAAATGTATTCGTCTGTGCTCTCTGGCGAATCTGCTACAAACTGTCAAAGAGTGAAAGGGATAGTGTAGGTTACAGGTTTGCCTGAGTGGCCTATCACGTATTGGTCGGCCACTTGACGCTACCCTACGCGCTACTGATAGTCAAGAAAAATATGAGTTTTTTCAAAAAAACAGATGTGACTGCAGCAAGTATTCACGTTTGGCTTCCAAAGATTTTGACGAAAATTCGTTCAGGTAAAGTATCTCCCATAACGTAGACATTGTAGCCCTGCAATTGCGGTTCTTAGAAAAAAGTGAGCACATTGATGCCACTGTAGCCAGCTAAGCCACATGTTCATTTAGAGCAGCCGAAAAGTAGTTAGTAGTTTGTCACTGGACAATAACCCAAGCAAGTCTTTCTGAAATCTCAAAGAATTTAATTGCGACGACAAGAAAGCATAGTGCTTCGATAGGTGCAGCGTTGTTTTGGAGTACTTCACTTCATCCTACGCCATAAATACAGGATGTAAAAGCGAAGCCACTAGTATTGCCTATGGAATTTGGGTTTCTCTTTATCGCTCTTCCGCCGGCGAAACTTACTTAGGCGATTATGGCGGCTCAAACTACACAACTGCTGATGTACGTTTTTGCCGGAAAGCCGGAATTTCTCGTGCTCAGCATGTCGCATATTCCCGATAACTGTTTTGGCCCTATAGATCTTAGTAGTCGTAGTTTAGTACAGGCCGATTCATAGCTGTGCTGCGGCTATCCTTACTGGCCAACATGCAGTGCCACAAAATGAACTGGTTCGGTAATTGCTGCAAACGAGTTTGATGCTTTTTCAACAGCGACTCAACTGGCAGTTATCACTTTTTTGTTCATAGTAAGTAGGCATCCACATCTTGCAAAGAATTCCACTTGGGAGCAATCGCCTCGGTCTGAGATTGCATATCGAGTTTTCCGTGAAGGATATGATACTATTGAGCTTATCCGTTTCTCTTTAGACTTCACTGCTGTTAATGTTGGAACTGATCACTTAGCTGAGCCATTGCAGAAGTGCGACTCTCCAGGGCCACGACGTGAAACATTCGCAGCAATTTAACTGAAGGATATCGAAGAAAAGTGAACATTGACTAAGGCCTTTGACTGGTAGATACTGTATTTGTCATGCAGCAGCGTGGCGCAGTGGAAGCGTGCTGACCCATAACCCAGAGGTCGATGGATCGAAACCACTCGCTGCTAATTTTTTTCTTCATAAAATTTGAGCAATGAATACAGATCTTCAGCTGGTAGATCCCTGCTTATGGCATGCAGCAGCGTGGCGCAGTGGAAGCGTGCTGGGCCCA